AAGTCACCCCAACGAAGAAGCAAGAAGAGAAGAGTACCACTGCCGTAGTCGCAAAAGAAGATCTACTATATCTCGTTGGAGAAGGTAATATCCTAAACATTGCTTGTGATGATAGTTCCTGGATTATCGATTCTGGTGCTTCGTTCCATGTCACTCCCCATGGAAGTTTCTTCTCATCCTACCAAAGTGGTGACTTTGGTACGGTTCAAATGGGAAACCAAGATAGGACCAAGATCGTTGGGATAGGAGACATCGTCCTGACAACTAGCACCGGATGCAAGCTTGTTCTCAAAGATGTGAGGCATGTCCCGGCCATGCGCCTCAATCTTATCTCCGCTGGAAAGTTAGATGATGCTGGTCTGATGAATTACTTTGGTGAAGGAAAATGGAAGCTCACCAAAGGAAGTCTAGTCATGGCTAGAGGAAAGAAGGAAGGATCGTTGTATGTGATGCAAGCTAAGCTCTGCAAAGGAGAGGTAAATATAACCACTGATGACATGGAAGTATGACATAAACGACTTGGTCACATCAGTGAGAAGGGCCTTCACATACTTGCTCGGAAACAACTCCTCCCGCACGTGAAAGGTAAGTCACTTGATCCTTGTGCACACTGTTTAGCTGGAAAACAACAAAGGGTTGCTTTCCAAAGATCTTCTCTGTCCACAAGGAGAAAGAACATCCTCGACCTTGTACACACCGATGTGTGCTCAATGTCCGAGAGATCTATTGGTGGTGCGTTGTACTTTGTGACCTTCATTGATGATCATTCAAGGAAGGTATGGTTGCACCTGTTAAAATCAAAGGATCAAGTACTTGACGCTTTCAAGGAATTCCACGCTCTTGTAGAACGTGAGACAGGAAGGAAGATCAAGTGTGTACGATCTGACAATGGAGGTGAGTATAGAGGTCCCTTTGAAGCCTATTGCAAGAAATATGGCATTAGGCTAGAGAAGACTCCACCCAAGACACCACAATTGAATGGGCTAGCTGAGAGAATGAATAGAACTATTGAAGAAAGAGTCCGTTGTGTGCTCTCTCAGGCTAAGTTACCCAAATTCTTTTGGGGAGAAGCTATAATGGCCGTAGTTGACATCGTCAACCTCACACCATCGGTTCCTTTGAACGGTGCCATTCCAGAGGAAGTATGGACGGGCAAAAAGGCTTCATACAATCATCTTCGCTCACCCAAAGACGAGCGAGCTAAGCTCGACGCAAAGACGAAGGAGTGCATATACCTTCGCTCACCCAAGGATGAATTCGGCTATCGGCTATGGGATCCAATCAACAAGAAGGTTGTTCGTAGCAGAGATGTGGTGTTCTTCGAAGACCAAACAATTGAAGACATTAAAAACTCAGAGAAGCCAAGATTGAGAAGCAGCAGGAGCACCGGACCTACGCAAGTTCGATGTGAGGATACTGATCCACATCAAGACAATAATGTTGAAGATCATGAGCCTGTGTTAGAGCAAAGAAACCAGGAGACTCATGATGAACCAACTCAAGAAGATCCTCAATCTAGTCCTCTGCCAGCACCAGAGCCGAGGCGATCCTCAAGGGAGAGAAGATCATCCACTCGGTACAACACCGAGGAGTACGTGATGCTCACGGATGAGGGGGAGCCACAAAGCTATAAAGAAGCAATTTGTGATGTTCATAAGGAAGAGTGGAGAAGATCCATGCAAGAAGAGATGCAATCCTTGCATGAGAATCACACTTATGAACTTGTGGAGCTGCCAAAAGGGAGAAGAGCCTTGAAGAATAAATGGGTGTATCGAATCAAGACCGAAGACAATAGCTCAAAGCCTCGTTACAAAGCTCGATTGGTTGTCAAAGGATTCGGTCAAGAAAAAGGCATCGACTTTGAGGAAATATTCTCTCCTGTGGTAAAGATGTCATCCATCCGATTTGTTCTTGGCCTAGCAGCGGCGCAAGATTTGGAGATTGAACAACTCGATGTCAAGACAGCATTCCTTCACGGCGACCTAGATGGAGCAGCCCGAAGGGTTCAAAGTTCCGGGCAAGGAAAACCTAGTATGTCGCCTCATGAAGAGTTTATATGGCCTCAAACAAGCACCGAGACAGTGGTACAAGAAGTTTGAGTCCTTCATGGCAGAGCATGATTTTACAAAGACAAAGAGCGATCATTATGTCTTCATAAAGAGGTATGCAAGTGGCGACTTTCTCATACTTCTACTCTATGTTGATGATATGTTGATTGTTGGACAAGATCGCGTAAAGATAGATGCTTTGAAGAAAGGTCTAAGCAAGAGCTTCGCCATGAAAGATTTGGGACCGGCTAAACAAATCCTTGGGATGAGAATAACTCGTGATAGATCGAAGAGACTGTTGTGGCTATCCCAAGAGAGGTACATTGAGAAAGTGTTGGAACGGTTCAACATGAACAAATCAAAGCCGGTAAACACACCACTTGCTGGACACTTCAGGTTGAGTTCGAAGAAAAGTCCCACAAGTGAGAAAGAAAAGGAGGAAATGAAGAAGATTCCATACTCATCTGTAGTAGGCAGTCTCACGTATGCAATGATATGCACAAGACCATATATCGCCTATGCAGTTGGAGTCGTTAGTCGTTTCTTGGCCAACCCTGGGAGTGAACATTGGGTAGCGGTCAAATGGATCCTCCGGTATTTATGTGGAACTTCCAAAAGATGTTTATGTTTTGGAAAAGGAAAACCTGTGTTAGAAGGATACACAGATGCAGACTTGGCCGGTGATATAAATTCAAGGAAATCAACATCCGGATACCTAACTACTTTTGCGGGGGGAGCTGTTTCCTGGCAATCAAAGCTGCAAAAGTGTGTTGCATTATCCACCACAGAGGCAGAGTACATCGCAGCTACTGAAGCTTGCAAGGAGATGCTGTGGATGAAGAACATGTTGCTCGAGCTGGGAATAGATCAAGAAAGGTACGTGTTGAAGTGCGACAATCAAAGTGCAATTTACTTGGCGAAGAACTCAACATTTCATTCTCGCACGAAGCACATTGATACAAGGTATCATTGGATCCGAGAAGTTCTCGAAGAAAAGAAATTAAATCTTGACAAGGTTCACACAGACGAGAACTGGTCAAACATAATGACCAAGGTTATACCGACAAAGAAGTTCGAAGATTGCTGTCAAGGTGCAGGTTTGCTACAACCCCCCAATTAAGTCGGGAGGGGGAGATTTGTTGGGATTCCTCCTTAATTGGAGAGGTTCTAGAAAATTCTAGAGCTTTCTAGAGAAGTATAGAATTTTCTAGAACGTTGTGGAGAATCCTAGAGAAGTCTAGAAGTGTCTAGAAGCTTGCGGAATAATGTGGAATCCTCTAGAATATTCTGGAGATGTGTGGAACCTTCCGGAAGCTTATGGAAGAGTATGGAAGCATATGGAAGAGAATGGAGATGTGTAGAGATTCCTTGGAATTCTCTAGAATAGGAAGTCATGTGTAGATCATTCTAGAGAACTATTCTCCACAACTCATTATGGAGGTGGAGTAGTATAAATAGGAGTAGGAGCCTCCATTCATAACCATCCCAATCCTAATCCTAGCAATCCTAGCAAGAGAGAATCCACTTCTTAGAGTGAGAAAGCTAGAGAGTTAGAGAGCCTCTTTGAGAGAGAAGAGAGTTAGCTTGGGAAGGTCATATCCTCAAGCTTGAGTGAGCCACTATTGAGTGAGACAATTTTGTAACATTCTTGTAAATCCTACTATTCTTTTGTATAGTGGAAGAATCTCCATATTGGAGAATTTAAATCGTGTGCTCCCATTACTACCTTAATTCCTAAGTGCCTATCTTAACTTCATGAAGCGGGAAATTTCGGAGTTTTTTCCCAACAAGAATAATATTAGAGTTAAAACAAAGATAATGAATAAATCACTAAGAGACTAGTATTAGTTTGATCCTCTCTTTCCTACTTACCATCGGTCTTATTAATAATTTTTTTAACTAACACCTTTGTAACTTTTAGAGCCCGTTTGATGATTGTGTATTTCTATTTCTCAACCTCATCAATCAACTTTTTCACAAACATGTAACTTTTTTGACTGGATTGATTGAAGTTACAACATCATTTTAACTATTTTTCATATAATTTTAATTTATGTTATTAATTTTAAATATAATTTTTTCATAATTCAACAGAATGCGCCAATCCAGTCACTTCATAAATTTCAACTCTAAGCGTTATCAAACGGGATTTTAATTTCGCACGCTCGATTGTGTAATTATAAAAATAAGCAAGATTAACGTTGCTTTTCTGACAAAACTGATTGAACTTACAACAAAGGCTTATTGATTATAATCAATCAATTTAACTACTTCATACAGAACTTTATCAATTTCAGCAAATCCAGTCGATTTCAGTGTTACCAAACACGCTTTAAAACGCAGAAACATATCTATTACAAAGAGAGGGAAAAACAAAACGGAAAGCAAGAAACACTGTGAACCTGTTTGATAACTCTTATTTTTAGCTTATCAACCATATGAATCAATTTTTTACTAAATACGAAAATTCTTTATTTCAATTAAAATAAGTAAAGTTAAAGTTAATTTTCTGATTGAATTGACTAAAGTGATTATAATGTTTTACTAAATACGAAAATTCTTTATTTCAATTAAAATAAGTAAAGTTAACGTTAATTTTCTGATTGAATTGATTATATATTTGCTCTTTATATTAGCTCACTAAAGTATATTGTATTTGCTCATTTTGGATTTCTAAAAAATGAAGGTAAAGATGTGAGCATGTGACTTCTAGGAAATCTTATTGAACAAAACGTGATTTTATGTCATATACGACTAGTTTTAATGACTTCATTCCTTTTAAGTATTTTTTGGCTGGACTTTCTGGTCTATTATGTTGACATTAGAAATGGATCTCAAACGTGAGACTCCTTTCAGACTTCTTTCTTCTAGAGAGTGTCACAGTGATGTCATCAAAGATTCAAAGATCACTCCTACAAAGTGTTAAGAACCAAAATACTTCGTAGTATCTTTTGCTCACGTCAATAAAAAAAAGTAACTTTGTAAAATACGAAGTACGAGGCGACCAAACATGTCCAATATCATACATACCCAGAACAACTCAATTACATAAAGAATATTTCTCACATCAAACCTTTCTTAGGGGACTTATTACCTGGCAAATCTTACCCTCACTCGCGACTCAGCCAAACAAAAGAGATGAAGATTCAGCACACATGTATGTAGTTATGTACAAGGCCGAAGTTTATGCACAAGAGAATGACAAAGTAATAGTGACAGAAAGAATATAACAATAATAATCGTAACACAAATGATCAATTCAACAATCAAATATACGAGTGGCGCGAAAGTTTATATCCAGAAATAATGGCGGAGATGGCCATGGCAAGGAACGCCAAGAACTCCATACTTATAGCCGAAGCAGAGGAATCTGTGAAGATGTTGTCCACATTTTCTCTCATCCTATTCGTTAGTGGCACAGCTGATGATGCTGATGATATTAACAAGTATGCCACCACCTGCAATTCGGTTTCTGTTTATTAGCTGCCAATTCGTCCAAAATGTTTAAAGAGAGTCCTATGGAGCTCCATAAAACTACTCCATAAAACTGTTCATCACGCCAACGTGCTCCATAGCGAGCATGTCGGCATTGCTCCCTATATTTTTCGCTACTCAGAGTGCTTTTGGTACTCGTAAAATGACAGGCAAAGAAAATATGGTGAAAAATATGTGAAAATTTGAGTTTAAGCACAAGTTAACAGATTAAATATGCAACTTTTCTTGGGAATAAATATGAATTTTCAATCTTACGGAGTACTCTCTCCATCCCGCTAACAATGGGACAAGAAGGAGTGACACGCGAATCAATGAAAAGTGGTTTATGTGGTTGATATTGAGTTGATAAAGTAATAATAAAGTAAGAATGATTTAGAGCCACACAAACTTTGCCAAATTTGGTATGTGACAATCTTAGTGGGACGGACCGATAAAGTAAAACGAGACAATCATAGCGCGACGGAGATAGTATTATATTAATGTATGGCGTAGAGTGTTGAGTGGTGAAGCAATGCCACATTCAAAAGATGAGTGTGACAGAGATGCGTATGTTGCGTTGGATGTGTGGACATACCAGAAAAGGTCGCTTGAGGAATGAGATAATCAGATAAAAGGTGGGAGTAACAACTATAGAAGATAAGATGCAGGAGTCTCGTTTGCGATAGTTTAGGCATGTGCGTAGAAGACCGAGTGATGCACCTGTTAGACGACTCGAGAGGTGGGGAGAAGAGAGGGAGAGGAAGACCCAAACAGACTTGGATTAGAGGAATCAGAACTGATATGCGTATTCTTGGGTTGGATGAGACTTGAGAGTATGACTTTGGAGAGAGCAAAGTGGAGGACGCGCATTCGTGTGGACGATTGATGTCTTGTCTACATTTCCTCTCTCTTTTGTTTTATCGTTTATCTTCTTTATCTTTTTATAGTCTTATGTTATTTTTATTTTCTAGCTTTTTTATATTCTTCTATCTTTCTTATATTCTTATGTTATTGTTATCTTATATTTATTTATCTTTATTTTATCTGTTTTATCTTACTTTTCCCCGTCCTTGTCCGTCTCTTTGTTTGGCATCCATATCATAGATCAATTCATGTTAGCCGATCCCAAATTCTTTTGAGATTAAGATTTGGATGTTGTTGTTGTATTACGGAATACTATTTATTTGAATAATTGAATTATAGCGTAACAAGTTTATGAAACCTAAACATACATAGGTTTTTGAAAAATATAATAGAACCACATCTCATTTCAATATCGACCTTCCAAGATACATGAGAAAATAGTTAGTTTTTCTTATCAACTTTTTCTCCATTCCTAACATTTTCTAATTTTTCTGTGATCCAAACTGCCCAAACATACTTAAAGATACTCCCTCCGGTCCTTAATTAACTTTACACTTTCCTTTTTGGGTCATCCCATATTAAATTTTGCACTTCCTTATTTGCCTTATTTGGCAAACAAATCTACACCAAACAATGCAAAACAGTGCTAAACAGTGCCAAACAGTAAAATCAAATTTATTTCCTTAGTATATGTGAAGTCAAAGTTTAAGTTTAATAAGGACCGGAGGAAGTATGAGATTTAATATTCACTCCGGTTCATATAAAAATGTAATGATGCATGGAATTTGTGCCGTTTGGCTTGACTTTTATATGTATGGATAACTTTTAAAACATTACTTTTTAGATTCTTTGTGCAGGAAGGGAGTTTTACCAAGGATAAAATAGAGCTAACCAAACAAGTCAATATGATCTGTCATGCAAACTAATTAATTACATACTGCACTTTTCATGTAACTACTTTGATGAAAAGTGTCATCAACCTATGTGTCAACCTATCTGTAAGATTGAGATTATAGTACAATTTACGTCCTCCCAACGTATCGTCCAGTCGAGGTTAGGACCTTCAGGCATGGGGTGTCATCCTTTTTTTATGAAAAGTGTCAATTTTTAAACTGTCAAAACATCCCTTAAATCTTCAACCTAACATTCAAGAATTCAAAGAGTGCTGAAAATGAAAATACCAACCTGATCGCCTAAAAAGTCTACCATATCCCAGTTTCTAGCCGACGAGAACTCTTTGCCGGTGGAGAGCTCATGGAATCGCCGGAAAGTTTGTAAACCAGTATACAATGTAGACAGAACCGCTATTGCCAACACATACCTGGAATTTACCAAATCCCACAATTCAGTTCCTTAAATCGAAAGAGTAATCAGCATTTGTGATCATAGGTAAAATTAGAATCTGGGATTACCTGTATTCCTCGTATCTGTCGAAATCTTTCCAGTCTCCGTGCTGATTACTGGCCATGATGATGAAAGCAAGCAATGAGAAAACCAGAGCGCCGCAGCGTAGACCCAAATAAGATTTCTTGATGAAATCTTCTCTTCTCCATCGCCGGATTATGTGGGTGACTCCGGTACCCGTCCCCGTCGCAATCTGATTCTCGGCATCATGAGTGGCAGCGCCGGCGGCGGCGGGAGGGGGTGGCATTGGGGCCGGCGCATTCTCCCCCTCTCTGGGATCCGCCATAATCTCCTGGGAATCGGAGTTCAGTTAAACAATCAGTATCTGATAGCTCTTCCGTCTATGAACACACTGCGAAAAAGTCCTGATTGAGAATCAAGTTGATAGAAGAACGGAAGGTGGATCATTGAGGTGGCATCTAAGGAAGTTTACCAGGACAAGGATGTGGTTTGTGACAGCTCAGTTAAGCCTGTAATGCTGCGTTTGGTTCAAGGGAATAGGCCTGGGCATGTGTCCATTATCCAACATGGGTCGGGTTTTGTTAAATCTGAAAGTTCACGCTAAGAATTCATGTTTGTGAAAACTATCAAATAAGTCCCCGTATTATACCGAAAAAGTCGATTAGCCCTTCATACTTTACAAATACTCAATTAAGTCTTTGAACTATTAAAAACGTTCAATTAAGCCCTTTTGGTGGGTAAGTAACCGATTTCCCGGTTAAACGACGACGATGGCGACGATGTGCTCGAACCCCAGCAATGGCACCTTCCGGGAAACAAGTTACATTTAACCGGGAAACCGGTTACTTACCGACCGAAAGGGCTTAATTGAACGTTTTTAATAGTTCGAGGACTTAATTGAGTGTTTGTAAAGTACGAGGGGCTAATCGACTTTTTCGGTATAATACGGGGGCTTATTTGATAGTTTTCCCAAACATGAATTCTTAGCGAGAACTTTCAGATTTAACAAAACCCGACCCATATTGGATAATGGACACATGCCCAGGCCTATTCCCTTGAACTCCGAGTCTGGATTGTGTTAAACTCGTAAATTCCTGTAAAAATCCGGATTATAAAAATCAAGGACTAGAATAAGAGTTGTTACATTTGAACTGAACCGGAATTTTGGTAGCCCATATTCGAGTAGGGTCGGTAAATGAAAAATCATCGATATATATTTCAAAATGTATTGCAAAAACAATTACACTATGAGTGGTTCGGTACGGTATACCTAATATTTTCTCTCATACCTTTACCGTACCAAAATTTTCAGTATACAAAATTTATATATCGTTACCTTATTGAAGTTTCGTAAAAGATCGATTTTATATGTAATTTTAAAAAACAATTTGGTCAATTTTCGTGAATGCTCGATAAATGTATATATACTACGTAGTATTATTTAAATCTAGTGTAGTCAGATCTGATTCTATTTGTTTGAATCTATCTGGTTCGAAATCAATTTAATTTAAAACATCCTAAATATCATTCACATCATAAATCTAGTCATGTAACATATGTGACTGTAATGTGGAATCAGCATGGTGGTGATAGAGTTTTAAAAGGTGGGGCCTCCACACTCTCACAAAACGATCTTTATACGGATCCAACCAATTTTTAGTAAGATATCTCATAAGGCCCCATTGTTCTTCTATTTGGAGCTCATATATTCTAATTGCTCCTCATATTGATCTAAGGTGGTTGAACTAAATAGCTTCATGCATCCTCTTGAAAAGGATACTTGGACCGTCTTCATGTCGCTCAATTTTAAAGCCTTATCTTCTATGTTACACTTGATATGTACCATGCACAATATATGCTTAGATTCTAGGAAAACTTCACTGAGTGCTTTTATCAAACCTAACTCTCGGTCAATCACGATCGCGAATGGGGAACAGGACATATTAGCTTTAACTCATTTAAAACCCACATGTAGTGTTCTGCGCTTTCAGCTCCCATCCACGCAAATGCAACAGAGAATATCTTCAACGTACTTGTGAATCCCACTATTTCCAGAAAAGACATATTTTACCTGTTATAAAAAATTATGACTCTTGACTACTTTTTACTCCTATTTAAAGGAGTGGTAAGATCGGAATGAAAAAATATGTATGTTTTCAAATAGGAGTAATATGGTCATATTTTGAAATAAAAATATACGAAGTCCTATTTTTTATTTTTAACCTAGTTTTACTCTTATTAGGGGTAATTTCTATCAACAATTCTTGGTGTACATCTTCTTATACACATCAGTCCACCCCGTGTCTGTGAGAGTTTTTTTTTGTCTGTGAATCCCAATCCACAGACAAAAACTGGCTTGTTTTGTCTGTGAAAAATTCTACAGACAAAACAAGGCAGTATTTGTCTGTGGACTGGGATACACAGACAAAAAAACTCTCACATACATGGGGGTGTATTGATGTGTATAAGAAGGTGTACAAAAGGAATTTTTGAATTTCTATAGTTATAACTTAAAAGAAAATATTTTACCTGTTTGTCTTGTATGTTGTGTCCATGATGAGAACATAAGGAAACGATCGCAATAGTTTTAGTGAATTTCGATGCGTGAATATCATGTCATGTAAATCTTCACTCCCTGGCACTAACCTATTGGCCTCAAAGTAATCATACTTTGAAATCAAATGAAGTAATTGTTGCATGACAGCGCGTCCATCCATCCATTCCTTTTTAAGCTTGCATCTTGCATTGCACACCTGCTTTCTAGATGTAACATTTTTAGAGTTCGCGATTTTTAAACTTTGGAGAATGGGCTTAGGCTTGCAACCTGCCTCAGATAAGTCTCTCACCAAAGAAATCTCTTGCTTTGTCAATTTACCAGCAAATGTGTGACCCACTAACATGGTTGTGCAATCCACAATTAACATGCAATCGCCATACATTCCGCTCCCACTACAAAAAAACACGCCGTTTGTCACGGATTTTTGTCACGGATTCCGGCCGTGACAAAGTTGTCACGAGCTTTGTCACGGAATTTTGGGATTTGTCACGAAAATTATTTGTCACGGATAAATCCGTGACAAAAGCCGTGACAATATTTTGTCACGGATGTGGTCCGTGACAAATTTACTCCGACGACCAGTTTTTTACTCCGGTGAATACTTTTTTTGCTTCCGGGGCTTTTGTCACGGACAGATCCGTGACAAATCCGTGACAAATTCCAAAAAAACTCAATTATTGATTTTCCAGCGGTAACCTTTAATAATACGGTACGGAAAAAGATTTGTCACGGATAAATCCGTGACAAATCCGTGACAAATTTTTTTATATAACCCAACTCCATCGTCCATTACAATTGCAAGAACAACAATTATCAGTTCAAAAATTCGTAGATTCGAGTGATGTAGTATCGGTTTAAAGATTGAATGATGTAATCCGTCAGTTCATCATTTTCCGAGTTTATGCAGATAAGGTATGTCATTTTAACTAATTTCTTTTAATTGTGTGATAAATTAATTATTAGCTTAATAATTAATTATTATTAGTGAGGTTAGGATTCTTTATTCTTTATATAATAATAATAATTAATTATTAACTTAATAATTAATTAGTGAGGTTAGTTGTTCATTTATTTCAACTATTAACGTAATTTAGTGAGATCATGTTAATTTTCATATTATTAACAATATATTATTAAACTATTAACGTAATTTAATTAGTTAAACTTAAATATAAATATTAATTAGTTAAATTCTTGTTATTATTAATGCATAATAATTTAGGATGTGTAGTGATGATTTAAGTATTAGCTAGCTTATTATAGATTAATTAATTAGTGACTTGTAGTGATTTAATTAATTAGTTAGCTTGCTTAATTATTAGGTTATTAATTATCACCAATTATTATTTATTAGCAATTATTGTTAATGGGATGCACAATATAGCTAGCTAGCTAGGATTGAAACTTTATTATTATTTAGTTTAGTGTGAATTATTATTGTGAATTATTAATGAGATAATATTTAACAATAATATTAGTTAAATGTAAATTAATTAAAACATTGAGGAAATGGGTTTAGAATTTGATGAGTTGATAATATTAGTTAGATTTAAATATTAGTTAATTGATCAATGATGATGATTAGGTTTAATTTGTTTATTAATTAGTTAATTATTGTTACCGCGTGACCATAATCTTCCTGAATCTTGCATGTATAGGTTATTGCAGTCATTTGGAGGAATGTTACCGCGTGACCATAATCTTCCTGATTCATATTACAAAATGAAACAATTAATGTCTCAGTTGGGGCTTCCTTGTATAGAAATTGATGCGTGCCCAGAAGGATGTATGTTGTTCTGGAAGGATGATGTGGCACTTGAGACCTGCAAGTTCTGTGGTGGAGAGAGATACAAGCATGTTCCTCATAGACGAAAAAAACCACGAAAAAGGTCTACATTGTCTAAATTGTTTTACCTCCCTCTAGCTCCACGCCTGCAGAGGATGTATGCTTCAAATGCTACTGCGAAACACATGACGTGGCATGTTGAGCACGAAACCAAAGAGGGTTTGATGTCTCACCCTTCCGACTGTGAAGCTTGGAGACACTTTGACCGTTGTCATCCTCAGTTTGCAATGGAGCCACGGAATGTGCGACTGGGATTGTGTTCAGACGGATTTGCTGCTTTTGGAAAGTTTGGGAAGAAATTTTCATGTTAACCAGTCATGCTAACTCCTTATAATCTTCCTCCCGACATGTGCATGAAAAGTCATTTCATCTTTTTAACTTTAATTTGTCCAGGTCCCTCGGATCCTAAAAAAAGGATAGACATCTATCTCCAACCCCTGATCGAGGAGATGAAAGAACTTTGGGCCATTGGGACACCAACTTATGATGTTTCGAGAGATCAAATGTTTATCATGAAAGCTGCCATCATTTGGACCATTAGCGACTTCCCTGCTTATGGTATGCTTTCAGGATGGAGCACACACGGTCTTATGGGATGTCCGATATGTATGGATCAATCAGATGCCAATTGGCTCAAATTTAACGGGAAACAAAGTTACTTTGATTGTCACCGCAAGTTTCTGCCTATGAACCATCGATATCGAAAGGACAAGAAGTCTTTTATTGCCGGAAGAGTGGTACGAGATCCCCCTCCTCCAAGACTTACAGGTGAACAAGTTTTTAACCGGATTCGACGTTTTCCTACGGCCGTGCAGCAACCCCACGGGGAGCCAAATGAGTATTGTGATACCCATAAGTGGACAAAGAGGAGTATATTTTGGGAGTTGCCGTATTGGAAGGACCTTCTCATTCGTAACAATTTAGATGTCATGCACGTTGAGAAGAACGTCTTTGACAATATATTTAACACGGTTATGGATTTTACCCACAAAACCAAAGATGGTCTTGCATCTAGAAAAGACATGACAATTTGGTGCGACAGACCCGAACTCACCGTCGATCTAGAATACGTGGGTAAAAAAATTCCAAGAGCAGTCTACCAACTCACAGCCCCACAAAGGGAATCAATATTAGAGTGGCTTGTTTCTCTGAACTTTCCAGATGGCTATTGTTCTAACTTGTCAAGATGCGTGGACCTGGACAAACAAACAATGACGTCGAGCATGAAAACTCATGATGCTCATGTAATCATGCAACGACTTCTGCCGATTGCACTGAAAGAGATGCTTCCTGCAGACGTCTGGGGCTGTATTACCGAAATCAGTCAATTGTTTCAGTCGATATGTTCCGCCGTTTTGGATGCCGAATCCCTGAGGAGACTAGAAGACATTGTTCCTATTCTGATGTGTAATCTGGAAAAGATACTGCCCCCATCATTTTTTGATGTAATGGAACATCTTCTAATACATCTTCTGTATGAGGCTTTGAATGGAGGGCCCGTCTTCTATCGTTGGATGTACAGATTTGAAAGGTTAGTCATAATTTCATTTATAAACGATGATTTGTTTAATAAAAACATTTGTTTGTTTACAAATTTTGTTTTGCATGACATATTTCTGGGAGATTTGAAAAAGAAAGAGACCAACAAGGCACACATTGAGGCTTCAATTTGTCAAGCATATATTCAACAAGAAACCTCAACGTTTTCATCTTTTTATTTTGAGCGTGAAGTAATCAGTAAAAGAAAGAGACCTGCTCGGAACGATGACATTGGCGAGGATTCATATGATAAAGTAGTTTCTATTTTCAACTACCCAGGTAGAGGTAAAGGAGCTGCGACTTACCGTTACATCGTGGGCGGAGAAATGAAAATTGCACATACTTACATTCTCATGAATTGTCCAGAAATCTTACCATTTTATAAGTAAGTTGAATTGGTAGTTACATTTGTAATATAGCTAATATTTTTTTAATAATTAGAGTCTTATAATAATATCTTTATTTTCAATTCACAGTGAATTTAGAGCGTCTTTATCAGCATTTCCTGGTGATGCAATTGATGCAATGGTGGACTCTGACTTTGCATTATGGTACCAACAGCAGGTATTATATATATATATATATATATATATATATATATATATATATATATATATAAATACATTATATATACTATTAGCTAGTAATTTTTAATCATTACCTAATGTTATCATGTTTTAATTTACAGATCAGGTATCGTGGGATTAACGACCCTCTGTTAGTATTATTATCGTGGGGCCCTTCTTCCTATGCAAAGGTTTGGCATTCATATGTGATAAACGGTTATACGTATCACACAGTTGAATATGGAGAAGGTCGACCAACAATGAACAGCGGGTTATGTGTCCCGACCATCGGTTCTGATAACTCGGAAACCAATTTTTTTGGTTTCTAGCATGAGATTCTCGAACTTCAAATGCCTTCTGGTTTGCAAGAATTAACATGCGTGTTGTTTCGCTGCACATGGGTCGACCCTACACGTGGTGTGAGAAAAAATTCAAAGTATAATATAATTGACGTCAACCACTCTCGTGTGTATCAGAAAAATGAGCCATTTATACTCGCTCAACAAGCAGCCCAGGTTTATTATGCAGAGTATCCTTCAACGAGGCGCACACGGAATCCTTGGGTGTGTGCCATTAATATCCGTCCGAGCAAAATTGTAACACAGGCTCAACAAAGGGATATTGACTTTGATGCTTTTCAGCAAGATTTTTTCCACCCTCCGCCTATTGCTGATACGGTCAACCATAACATTCAGTTAAGTGACCCAAATGGCGGAGATGTTGAAGTTATGCCTGAAACACACCTTCCGCCCCCTATACCTCAAAATGAGCGCGAAATTGAAGAATTATATATACAACAACTGCACGATGACCAGGAGGAAGAAGAAGAATGGATATCTGGTGATGAAGATACAGAAGAAGAAGTTGCCTATCAAGAAAATACTGATTCTGATAGCGATTAAATGTATAGTTAACAACCAATGTAATTACTTTTAATTGAACTATTTTAATTTGAATTTTTAACTTTCTTTCGTCATATTATATTATTCCAAGATATAATAGTTAGGTATGTAATTCGCAACTATCATTTCTAAACAATTATTTAACATTATTTAAAATTCGCAACTATTATTTAAATTTTAAATAATTCGAAATTTAACATTATTTAAAATTCGGAAATTAGTTTTTTAACATTATTTGTTATTAGTTTTTTAACATTACAAAATTTTAATAATTCGAAATTTAATAAACAAGAACATGAATTTATTTATTAAATTTAAAAACTAAGTAGAAAACACACATTTTTTTATCATTTATTACATTCAACAACTCACAATACAGATAAACAAATAAACACAATATTATTCATTAGCGTCAAAACTTTCATCTAGAGGCCTATCAAGTAGCTCGTTAATTCTTTCTGCAGCTTCCGCGTTTATAGGTATCATATACTCCGAACATTGTTCTGCACGTAAAAGTGCCCTACGCAAGTTTTTCCCTCGTGAAACGTTGTATGAGTCTGATTCATAGTCTATAATATCGCCAAAGCTTTCAAGCGGTCTACTCATCAGCTCACGGATGCTTTGAACTGCTTCTGCATTTCGAGGCTTCATCAACTGTGTAACTTGTTTTAATCGTTGTACACTTCTACTGATCAACTTCCACACATCTGGTTCTGGATTAGCCATTTTTTCGCACTGAAAAAATGGGACTCTAAGCACATATTTATACTTAAATTTGTCACGGATAGGTCCGTGACAATTAAAGTAGCTGACGCCTCGTCTGATTAAGGCTGAAAAAGCTTTAATATTCCCTGCACCGGTTTGTCACGGATCCATCCGTGACAAATCCGTGACAAAATTGTCACGGATTTGTCACGGATGGATCCGTGACAAACCGGTCAACCTGCCGTTCTGCCGCCTCGTCTGCCGTTCCCTGCCGCCTCGACTGCCGTTCCGCAGTTTACAAGTTCCGATGCCTTTGTCACGGATTAATCCGTGACAAATTCAAATTTAAAAATCCGTGATTAATTTCTCACGGGCTTTGTCACGGACGGATCCGTGACAACCCCTAATATATAAACGACACTTAGCCATTTTTTTCTCTTACGCTTCCCAATTCCTTTAGCAAACCCTAACATAACCCAGCGCCTCCTCTCTACTCCCTTACGCCTTCCTACACCCGCCGACCGCCACCCTCCCAAACGCCTCCCACTCCGCCGCCCTGCTGCCTCTCTTACACCCGCCGACCGCCACCCTCCCAAACGCCTCCCACTCCGCCGCCCTTCTGCCTCATACACCCGCCGACCGCCACCGCACACATCTCACCGGTCACCGCGGATTATCTCCACTCCTGCCGCCGTTCTTCGAAGCCGGCCTTCTCTTCTTTCCCTTTCATTTCTTGCCTTCTTCTCCGAGGTTATGTTTCTAACTCTTTAATTTTCGAATATTTTAGAATAATTGTTTTAAAATGCCAAAAATAAAATGCATGTTTTTCTTAATATTCTTTAATTGTTTAATTTAATGTGTATATGTTAATAAGTTATCATGCATTGAATATGTGTATATGTTTAATGTTTACATGTTTCCGAATATTCATATGCATGCTCGAAATTTTATGGCATGTTTTTAATTATTTAATGCATGTTTTTCTTAATATACATGCATGTTTATATGTTTTTCATAATATTCATATGCATGCTCGTAAATTTAATTATTTAATGCATGTTTTTCTTAATATTGTTTTAATGTTTATATGTTTCCGAATATTCATATGCATGCTCGTAATTTTATTGCATGTTTTTAATTATTTAATGCATGTTTTTCTTAATATTCATGCATGTTTATATGTTCTTCTTCATATTCATATGCATGCTCGTAAATTTAATTATTTAATGCATGTTTTTCTTTATATTGTTTTAATGTTTATATGTTTCCGCATATTCATATGCATGCTCGTGATTTTATTGTTCCTAGCTATATTCATATGCATTCTCTTAATTTAAAAATGCCTGCTTTAGATTTAACGTTTCATAATATGTGTATATCATTTGTTTATATGCTTTAAATATGCCTTAGATATTGTTAATATAAAAATGCCTGCTTTAGAATAGTTAATTATTAAATTTTTAGTCAAGGTTATTTTGAGTTTTTGTTAATTTCGGATATTTATTAAGAATAATAATTTCAACTCCATTAATTTTCGCCCCCTCATGTTACACTTTCAAAAAAGTTAACATGTCTAACCCAACAAAATAATGAAACTGTTAATTTTTTTTTATAATATTTCGGATATTATATTATTTTTTTAATATTATAAAACACTTTAAAATTTTTTGGATCATTTAACTGATTTTTAAATAATTTCGGATATTATAATATTTTATTTTAAATAAAACGTTGTTTCATAAATAACATAAAACAGAAATGAAGTAAAAAAATATATTTTATATATTAAAATAGAAATAAAAAACCAAACAAACTGTTTTTGTTTATATAATACGAAAATGATTTCATATGTTTCATGAAAAATTGATTTTATGGGTTTTATGAATAAACAAAAAATGAAACTGATTTTTAATTTTTTTTTGAAAAAATTGATTTTATAGATTTTAAAAATCAGGTCACTGTTTTTTATAAATTAATACCATACACAATTAAATTCAATAACATAAAAATCATACAAAAAACTCATTCTACCCCCCATATTAAACTCAAGTTTAATATGTTCTATATTTCAAAGATTGATAAATACGTAACACAATTAAATTCAATAACATAAAAATCATACAAAAAACTCATTTTCCCCCTCATATTAAACTCAAGTTTAATATGTTCTATATTTCAAAGTTTGATGAATAAATAGGAAACTAATAAGTTTAAACCATTATACCACACAAAAATTTCATAAACTGATTTTAGAAAACTGTTTTTTTATAAATAATACCAAATACAAGATGTAATAAATTGTATTTTTCTAAATTAATGCAAAAAACTGATTTCCGATGATTTATAATTTAATAGGGAAAAACTGATTTTATTAGTTTAAATTAAAAAGTTTGATCAATTGATTTTATATAAGGTTTCATAAAAAATATACACAACACAAGTTACCTCCTCAACATAAAAATCATCCAAAAAACTTATTCGACCCCTCATATTAAACTCAAGTTTAATATGTTATATTTATCAAAGTTTCATACCACACAAAAACACCATAAAATAATACCTAACACAATTAAATTCAATAACATAAAAATCATACAAAAAACACATTCTACCCCTCATATTAAACTCAAGTTTAATGTGTTCTATATTTCAAAGTTTGATAACCAAATAGGGAAACTCATTAAGTTTAAAATATCATACCACACAAAAACTCCATAAACTGATTTTATAAGGTTTGATAAAATAATATCTAACACAATTAAATTCCATAACATAAAAATCAAACTAAAAACTCATTTGACCTCTCATATTAAACACAAGTTTAATATGTTCTATATATTATTTCTCAATAATTTTAGATGAGTGAGCACGAACGCCGCCTTTCCACCATTGCTCGTCGTGGGCGTCAGAATTCACGACGGGCCTCAAACGCTGATCGTGATATCAATGATGATATCAATCCCGACGAAGGACAAGCTCTTGACGGACATGTCCAAACTCCTCCCTCCGAACTATCAGATGCTCATATAAGCGTGCATGGGGAGGGGGCATCATCTCATGCACCTCCTTCATCTCGTGCAATATATGCCCCCCCCCCCCCCCCCCCCCACTCAAGAAGAGCGTCACAATCCCGGTTCGCTTGAGGTGACACCTCAATCGATCCATAGGTAATAAAAAACTAACATTCTCTAATATAAAATAGTATAATCTCTATATCTAAGATTTAATACAATTGTTTTTATCAATTATCAATTTTTTGAAGCGATTCCGAGGTCTTGAATAGAATGAAGTCTATTGTTTGTGGTCATTTCACCGGGCCGTGGTCGACTTATGGTGAGGTTCCGGCGGCCACTCGTGAACTATGGTTGCGGTTGTTCAAGGTAAAAGTAAATATTTTTGTTACATTTTAGTAACTTAAATTTAAGAAATGATGATATATCAATATTTTTCATGAAGGCTTCCCATCGTTGGCATTTTGCCCTAGACCAAGCTATTCTCAAAGAATACAATTCCAGGATTTCTGGGTGGTTGAGACCCACTTTTAGGACCGCCCGGTCTACGGGTAAAAAGCCAAAATTCCTTGGCGATGATGTGTGGGAGATGCTTTGCCGCCACTGGGCTACGGATGCCTCATTTTTGGTGAGAAGCGAAGCGGCAAGGCAAACCGGAATTCTGAGAAAGCCAAGGAAGTTCAATGGCACGGGGGTCGCAAACCCCAAATTCAACATAAAAAAGATCTGGTAAACTCTAATTAGTTAAAATTATTTCCATTCCATACCTTTATGTATATATATTTTTTTATTAACTTTGAAATCCGTGTAGGAAGGATCTGGACCCGTGAAAAAACGGGTCACGCCATTGAAACTCATGGCACATTGCTGGACTAAGAAGGGTGCAATGCTGCCTCCCCGCTTTTCTGAAATTGAAGTAAATAATGAAACATAATTCAATAAATTTCGATTTTTTTTTATCTCTTATATAATAAATTTTTGAACTTGTAGAAAAAATATGAGGAAGAGCGGGGGAAGAGAGTTGATGAGCTAGCTGATTCTGATGACGAACTTGATGAAAATCAAGATAATGAAGCCATCTTGGCGGCAACCGGAGTTTACAAGGGCCGGGTGCCGCTTATGGGTTCTGAAGGCGTACGGATCCTAGAGAAGGCCAAAGGAGCTAGCTCATCTTCTCATTCGGCATATGATGATCGGGTTACCCGCCTCGAGAAACTATTGGAGGAGCGTGAAGCCGAGGCTCGAAGGCGGGATGAAGAAGCTCGGATACGGGATGAAGAGCAAAGAAGAACAAGAGAAAGGTTGGAAGAGATGGAACGCCAAATGCGTATTTTCAACGCCACCTACCGTCCATCCATGCACATACAGCACCCCGAGATGACCCCACAAGTTCCCTTCGCGGGCAATATGGGCAGTATGGGCAGTAGGGGTTTTGCTAATTATAGCCACATCTCCAACAACTTTCCATATGGATATTATGATGATATCTCGACTCTCGGAGCTCAAGCTTACCGTGGCAGCAGCCGTGCTGGCAGCCGCAGTGGCAGTCGAGGCGGTCATCGTGGTGGCAGTCGTGGCCACGGAAGGCAACCCGATCATCGTGACGAACCTGATGATGCTGATGCTGATGCTGATTATGATGACCATTGATGGTTTGTAATAATTAGTTTATTAACATTTTAAGGATTTTTAAATTTTGATGTGTTAATGTATGAATATTAATGTGTAATGGTTTGATTGTGTTTAAATAATAGTTTATTTGTGTTTTATAATGATGGTTCAATTAGATTATTATTTATTATGATACCTAATGTGTAATGGTGATTAATGATGATTGTTTAATTATTTATTATAAACAATTATTTATTAAGATTATTGTTTAACTATTTATTATTAAGTTTAATTTTTTGAAAAAGCGCCTAAATTTTAATGGTTATTATTTATTAAATAAACTTTTGAAATAAATTTTTAAAAATGCGCTGAATTTTTAAATTTTTTTTAAAAAAATTTAAACTTTTGTCACGGACTGTTCCGTGACAAAATATAAATTCATTTTATTTTATATACATAAAACGCTGAAATAACGTATTTTTTTTTTAAAAAAATGTTTTGTCACGGATGGGATCCGTGACAAGTTCAAACTTTTGAATTTTTTGAAAATTTTAAAGCTCCCGCCCACTCTATTCTAAAATTTTCAAATTTTTTTCAAAATATTTTGTCACGGATATGTCCGTGACAAAATTTAAAATTTGAATTTTCCGGACTGTTTCAAATACCCGCCCACTCTATTTTGAAAAACCTTTTTTTTAATTTGTCACGGATATTTCCGTGACAAATAATTATTTTTTTTTGAAAAATAAAAAAATTTATTCACGGATGCGTCCGTGACAAATGAAAGACGATGGGGTTCCGGTGAAGTGTTTTGTAACGGATGAGTATCCGAATTCTCATGTTCCTCATATTGAAGACTTAGCTGAAAGATTTCAAGATGTTTTAAAAGCTGCTGATCAGCCTCTGTATGCTGATTGTGAGGGATACTATCAGCTATCCGCCGTTACCGAGTTGATGAACATTAAATCTGAATACAATCTTCCTGAATCTTGCATGTCTAGGTTATTGCAGTCATTTGGAGGAATGTTATCGCGTGACCATAATCTTACTGATTCATATTACAAAATGAAACAATTAATGTCTCAGTTGGGGCTTCCTTGTATAGAAATTGATGCGTGCCCTGAAGGATGTATGTTGTTCTGGAAGGATGATGTGGCACTTGAGACCTGCAAGTTCTGTGGTGGAGAGAGATACAAGTCTGTTCCTCATAGACGAAAAAAACCACGAAAAAGGTCTGCATTGTCTAAATTGTTTTACCTCCCTCTAGCTCCACGCCTGCAGAGGATGTATGCTTCAAATGCTACTGCGAAACACATGACGTGGCATGTTGAGCACGAAACCAAAGAGGGTTTGATGTCTCACCCTTCCGACTGTGAAGCTTGGAGACACTTTGACCGTTGTCATCCTCAGTTTGCAATGGAGCCACGGAATGTGCGACTGGGATTGTGTTCAGACGGATTTGCTGCTTTTGGAAAGTTTGGGAAGAAATTTTCATGTTGGCCAGTCATGCTAACTCCTTATAATCTTCCTCCCGACATGTGCATGAAAAGTCATTTCATCTTTTTAACTTTAATTTGTCCAGGTCCCTCGGATCCTAAAAAAAGGATAGACATCTATCTCCAACCCCTGATCGAGGAGATGAAAGAACTTTGGGCCATTTGGGACACCAACTTATGATGTTTCGAGAGATCAAATGTTTATCATGAAAGCTGCCATCATTTGGACCATTAGCGACTTCCCTGCTTATGGTATGCTTTCAGGATGGAGCACACACGGTCTTATGGGATGTCCGATATGTATGGATCAATCAGATGCCAATTGGCTCAAATTTAGCGGGAAACCAAGTTACTTTGATTGTCACCGCAAGTTTCTGCCTATGAACCATCGATATCGAAAGGACAAGAAGTCTTTTATTGTCGGAAGAGTGGTACGAGATCCCCCTCCTCCAAGACTTACAGGTGAACAAGTTTTTAACCGGGTTCGACGTTTTCCTACGGCCGTGCAGCAACCCCACGGGGAGCCAAATGGGTATTGTGATACCCATAAGTGGACAAAGAGGAGTATATTTTGGGAGTTGCCGTATTGGAAGGACCTTCTCATTCGTAACAATTTAGATGTCATGCACGTTGAGAAGAACGTCTTTGACAATATATTTAACACGGTTATGGATTTTACCCACAAAACCAAAGATGGTCTTGCATCTAGAAAAGACATGACAATTTGGTGCGACAGACCCGAACTCGCCGTCGATCTAGAATACGTGGGTAAAAAAATTCCAAGAGCAGTCTACCAACTCACAGCCCCACAAAGGGAATCAATATTAGAGTGGCTTGTTTCTCTGAACTTTCCAGATGGCTATTGTTCTAACTTGTCAAGATGCGTGGACCTGGACAAACAAACAATGACGTCGAGCATGAAAACTCATGATGCTCATGTAATCATGCAACGACTTCTGCCGATTGCACTGAAAGAGATGCTTCCTGCAGACGTCTGGGGCTGTATTACCGAAATCAGTCAATTGTTTCAGTCGATATGTTCCGCCGTTTTGGATGCCGAATCCCTGAGGAGACTAGAAGACATTGTTCCTATTCTGATGTGTAATCTGGAAAAGATACTGCCCCCATCATTTTTTGATGTAATGGAACATCTTCTAATACATCTTCTGTATGAGGCTTTGAATGGAGGGCCCGTCTTCTATCGTTGGATGTACAGATTTGAAAGGTTAGTCATAATTTCATTTATAAACGATGATTTGTTTAATAAGAACATTTGTTTGTTTACAAATTTTTTTTTGCATGACAGATTTCTAGGAGATTTGAAAAAGAAAGCGACCAACAAGGCACACATTGAGGCTTCAATTTGTCAAGCATATATTCAACAAGAAACCTCAACGTTTTCATCTTTTTATTTTGAGCGTGAAGTAATCAGTAAAAGAAAGAGACCTGCTCGGAACGATGACATTGGCGAGGATTCATATGATAAAGTAGTTTCTATTTTCAACTACCCAGGTAGAGGTAAAGGAGCTGCGACTTACCGTTACATCGTGGGCGGAGAAATGAAAATTGCACATACTTACATCCTCATGAATTGTCCAGAAATCTTACCATTTTAATAAGTAAGTTGAATTGGTAGTTACATTTGTAATATAGCTAATATTTTTTTAATAATTAGAGTCTTATAATAATATCTTTATTTTCAATTCACAGTGAATTTAGAGCGTCTTTATCAGCATTTCCTGATGATGCAATTGATGCAATGGTGGACTCTGACTTTGCATTATGGTACCAACAGCAGGTATTATATACATATATATATATATATATATATATATATATATATAAATACATTATATATACTATTAGCTAGTAATTTTTAATTATTACCTAATGTTATCATGTTTTAATTTGCAGATCAGGTACCGTGGGATTAACGACCCTCTGTTAGTATCATTATCGTGGGGGCCTTCTTCCTATGCAAAGGTTTGGCATTCATATGTGATAAACGGTTATACGTATCACACAGTTGAATATGGAGAAGGTCGACCAACAATGAACAGCGGGTTATGTGTCCCGACCATCGGTTCTGATAACTCGGAAACCAATTTTTTTGGTTTCTAGCATGAGATTCTCGAACTTCAAATGCCTTCTGGTTTGCAAGAATTAACATGCGTGTTGTTTCGCTGCACATGGGTCGACCCTACACGTGGTGTGAGAAAAAATTCAAAGTATAATATAATTGACGTCAACCACTCTCGTGTGTATCAGAAAAATGAGCCATTTATACTCGCTCAACAAGCAGTCCAGGTTTATTATGCAGAGTATCCTTCAACGAGGCGCACACGGAATCCTTGGGTGTGTGCCATTAATATCCGTCCGAGCAAAATTGTAACACAGGCTCAACAAAGGGATATTGACTTTGATGCTTTTCAGCAAAAAAAATTCCACCCTCCGCCTATTGCTGATACGGTCAACCATAACATTCAGTTAAGTGACCCAAATGGCGGAGATGTTGAAGTTATGTCTGAAACACACCTTCCGCCCCCTATACCTCAAAATGAGCGCGAAATTGAAGAATTATATATACAACAACTGCACGATGACCAGGAGGAAGAAGAAGAATGGATATCTGGTGATGAAGATACAGAAGAAGAAGTTGCCTATCAAGAAAATACTGATTCTGATAGCGATTAAATGTATAGTTAACAACCAATGTAATTACTTTTAATTGAACTATTTTAATTTGAATTTTTAACTTTCTTTCGTCATATTATATTATTCCAAGATATAATAGTTAGGTATGTAATTCGCAAGTATCATTTCTAAACAATTATTTAACATTATTTAAAATTCGCAACTATTATTTAAATTTTAAATAATTCGAAATTTAACATTATTTAAAATTCGGAAATTAGTTTTTTAACATTATTTGTTATTAGTTTTTTAACATTACAAAATTTTAATAATTCGAAATTTAATAAACAAGAACATGAATTTATTTATTAAATTTAAAAACTAAGTAGAAAACACACAATTTTTTATCATTTATTACATTCAACAACTCACAATACAGATAAACAAATAAACACAATATTATTCATTAGCGTCAAAACTTTCATCTAGAGGCCTATCAAGTAGCTCGTTAATTCTTTCTGCAGCTTCCGCGTTTATAGGTATCATATACTCCGAACATTGTTCTGCACGTAAAAGTGCCCTACACAAGTTTTTCCCTCGTGAAACGTTGTATGAGTCTGATTCATAGTCTATAATATCGCCAAAGCTTTCAAGCGGTCTACTCATCAGCTCACGGATGCTTTGAACTGCTTCTGCATTTCGAGGCTTCATCAACTGTGTAACTTATTTTAATCGTTGTACACTTCTACTGATCAACTTCCACACATCTGGTTCTGGATTAGCCATTTTTTCGCACTGAAAAAATGGGACTCTAAGCACATATTTATACTTAAATTTGTCACGGATAGGTCCGTGACAATTAAAATAGCTGACGCCTCGTCTGATTAAGGCTGAAAAAGCTTTAATATTCTCTGCACCGGTTTGTCACGGATCCATCCGTGACAAATCCGTGACAAAATTGTCACGGATTTGTCACGGATGGATCCGTGACAAACCGGTCAACCTGCCGTTCTGCCGCCTCGTCTGCCGTTCCCTGCCGCCTCGACTGCCGTTCCGCGGTTTACAAGTTCCGATGCCTTTGTCACGGATTAATCCGTGACAAATTTAAATTTAAAAATCCGTGATTAATTTCTCACGGGCTTTGTCACGGACGGGTCCGTCACAACCCCTAATATATAAACGACACTTAGCCATTTTTTTCTCTTACGCTTCCCAATTCCTTCAGCAAACCCTAACATAACCCAGCGCCTCCTCTCTACTCCCTTACGCCTTCCTACACCCGCTGACCGCCACCCTCCCAAACGCCTCCCACTCCGCCGCCCTGCTGCCTCTCTTACACCCGCCGACCGTCACCCTCCCAAACGCCTCCCACTCCTCCGCCCTTCTGCCTCATACACCCGCCGACCGCCACCGCACACATCTCACCGGCCACCGCGGATTATCTCCACCCCTGCCGCCGTTCTTCGAAGCCGGCCTTCTCTTCTTTCCCTTTCATTTCTTGCCTTCTTCTCCGAGGTTATGTTTCTAACTCTTTAATTTTCGAATATTTTAGAATAAATGTTTTAAAATGCCAAAAATAAAATGCATGTTTTTCTTAATATTCTTTAATTGTTTAATTTAATGTGTATATGTTAATAAGTTATCATGCATTGAATATGTGTATATGTTTAATGTTTACATGTTTCCGAATATTCATATGCATGCTCGAAATTTTATGGCATGTTTTTAATTATTTAATGCATGTTTTTCTTAATATACATGCATGTTTATATGTTTTTCATAATATTCATATGCATGCTCGTAAATTTAATTATTTAATGCATGTTTTTCTTAATATTGTTTTAATGTTTATATGTTTCCGAATATTCATATGCATGCTCGTAATTTTATTGCATGTTTTTAATTATTTAATGCATGTTTTTCTTAATATTCATGCATGTTTATATGTTCTTCTTCATATTCATATGCATGCTCGTAAATTTAATTATTTAATGCATGTTTTTCTTTATATTGTTTTAATGTTTATATGTTTCCGCATATTCATATGCATGCTCGTGATTTTATTGTTCCTAGCTATATTCATATGCATTCTCTTAATTTAAAAATGCCTGCTTTAGATTTAACGTTTCATAATATGTGTATATCATTTGTTTATATGCTTTAAATATGCCTTAGATATTGTTAATATAAAAATGCCTGCTTTAGAATAGTTAATTATTAAATTTTTAGTCAAGGTTATTTTGAGTTTTTGTTAATTTCGGATATTTATTAAGAATAATAGTTTCAACTCCATTAATTTTCGCCCCCTCATGTTACACTTTCAAAAAAGTTAACATGTCTAACCCAACAAAATAATGAAACTGTTAATTTTTTTTTATAATATTTCGGATATTATATTATTTTTTTAATATGATAAAACACTTTAAAATTTTTTGGATCATTTAACTGATTTTTAAATAATTTCGGATATTATAATATTTTATTTTAAATAAAACGTTGTTTCATAAATAACATAAAACAGAAATGAAGTAAAAAAATATATTTTATATATTAAAATAGAAATAAAAAACCAAACAAACTGTTTTTGTTTATATAATACGAAAATGATTTCATATGTTTCATGAAAAATTGATTTTATGGGTTTCATGAATAAACAAAAAATGAAACTGATTTTTAATTTTTTTTTGAAAAAATTGATTTTATAGATTTTAAAAATCAGGTCACTGTTTTTTATAAATTAATACCATACACAATTAAATTCAATAACATAAAAATCATACAAAAAACTCATTCTACCCCCCATATTAAACTCAAGTTTAATATGTTCTATATTTCAAAGATTGATAAATACGTAACACAATTAAATTCAATAACATAAAAATCATACAAAAAACTCATTTTCCCCCTCATATTAAACTCAAGTTTAATATGTTCTATATTTCAAAGTTTGATGAATAAATAGGAAACCAATAAGTTTAAACCATTATACCACACAAAAACTTCATAAACTGATTTTAGAAAACTGTTTTTTATAAATAATACCAAATACAAGATGTAATAAATTGTATTTTTCTAAATTAATGCAAAAAACTGATTTCCTATGATTTATAATTTAATAGGGAAAAACTGATTTTATTAGTTTAAATTAAAAAGTTTGATCAATTGATTTTATATGAGGTTTCATAAAAAATATACACAACACAAGTTACCTCCTCAACATAAAAATCATCCAAAAAACTTAATCGACCCCTCATATTAAACTCAAGTTTAATATGTTATATTTATCAAAGTTTCATACCACACAAAAACACCATAAAATAATACCTAACACAATTAAATTCAATAACATAAAAATCATACAAAAAACACATTCTACCCCTCATATTAAACTCAAGTTTAATGTGTTCTATATTTCAAAGTTTGATAACCAAATAGGGAAACTCATTAAGTTTAAAATATCATACCACACAAAAACTCCATAAACTGATTTTATAAGGTTTGATAAAATAATATCTAACACAATTAAATTCCATA